CACCTCAAACAAAACTCTAGCCATTGCCATTGCGGTTGTATTTTTCGTGTTTTAGAGCTGTGATGAAAGGATTTTATTTATTCCTATAGGGGGATCAAAAGAAGGTGCTTTTACTTTGGATTTTTCTTGCGCTTTTTGGTCTTTTCCTATCAATATTCGATAGTTTTCACGGCTGATCTCTGATTTTTGTAGAAAGCAATTGATGGTTTGTTTTGTTCTTTTTTCTTTAAGGATGAATGAAAAGCTGCTAGGACTTGCCAAAGCAGCCGAATCTTCCTGTGGGGTTTCTCCCGCGAGTTCTGACAGCGATTTACTGTCTTACAGTGAAGTCCAGTATTCCCATTAGGATGACTTGGAGAAGGGTTGTTTATGTTTACATCCAAGCCTCGGTCCACCATGTTCTGAAAACCAGAAAGACGAGTTCTCAAAGGATGTTTCTACAACAATTTTGGGTTGCTTTGGTGCTTTCTGCAATGGAGCTAAGACTAAGTTCTTGCTTATTTTTAGTTCAGCGGCATTCGCGAGGATTCCACCCACTGCGAAAAAAAAAGTAGAATGAAGGACTTTGTCATTAATACGTGATTTTGCATTTTCATATTACGTTCTCTTTCCTTTTTTGAGGGATAATATGTTTAAGGTGACTTCAAAAAATGTTCAAAACAGCGTAGCAGCTATTCTTTTCGCATTGGCGTTTTAAATTCTTTTTAAACTCGTTTTCGGGTACGTCATGAAAAATAATATTTTCTGAAAGCTATGCTAATGAAAAATGAATAGTTTTATTGGATCTGTTGATTTTCTCGTTCGATTCACCTCCCTTGTTATTTTCTGCAGGCTCCATAGGGAGGGGTTTCTGATGTTTCTAAAACGCTTTTTGCGTGGTTTCTGAAGGGTTTGATTGGATTTCGAAAGCTATTGCCTATGTTTAATATTTGAAGGAGCCGTGTCGGCGAGCGAAAATCAACTTTCAATTCATGCAATACCTTTTATTTCTTTGAGTGAGTCAAATAATTTTAGTAGTCTTAGAAAAGAGCCATGTACTGAATGTTTTGAACGGTATCTAAGACGAACAAGAAGATCAACCTAAGAATACTGAAAGCGCTAAAGTTTGAATGACAGCTGATCACTTCTACCTTCCTCTTTTTGATTAACTTTCTTTTATTTTTTTACTTTTATTTTGTTTAGATTTTTATAGACAACGTATCAATTGTTTGGCACTTAAAATATCATTATGCGTTTATGATTCATTAATGTATATTCATCATATCAAATCCTCTATATAAGTTGAACGTAATAATATTTCATGCGCTGTCTTGCCCATAGTCTTCACCAGCTAACACTACTTTGACTTGCTCACCATTTAGAAATCTCCTTTATACAAATAAACTCAATACATTGACAGTCCGCCAGAAGCTGAAATGACCTGTCCAGTAATCCATCGGCTGTTATCATCGACAAGGAAACCAACAACTTCTGCTATTTCTTGTGGTTTTGCATAGCGGTTTTCATAAGGCGTAAGTTTAGCGAGAAATTGAGTGGTACTCTCTTCAAAGTCATTTAGCATATCGGTTTCAACTATTCCGGGGTTAATTTGATTAACGGTATGGCTTTGAGGGCCTAATTCGGCAGCCCAACATCTCCTAAAGCCTTCGATAGTAGATTTGGTTGCAGAATAGATGGGATACTGAGGGACACCCATCCTTTCAGCCACGCTTCCGACATTTATAATTCTGCCTCCGGTGCCAGCATTTTCTTCTTTCTTTGGAAGATGAGGAAATACTGCTTCTGTAAGGAAAAATAGACCACGAACGTTCAGATCAAAAGAATAATTAAAGTCTTCGATATTGTTTTGTCCCAAGGGTTTTGGCTTAGTTACACGCCCAGCATTGTTGATAAGGATATGAATCGTAGGTCCGAATGCCTTTATAGTGGTGTCAACAATAAATTTAGGACTGCCAACATGGCTTAAATCTGCTTGAATCTTAATTGCATCTGCCGAAGTTCCAAAGCCTTTAATTTTCTTAACCAATTGTTCTGTCGCTTCAACACTACTATCTGAAGTAAACGTAAGGGCTACTTTGGCGCCTCGAAGAGCTAGCGCTTCAGCTATAGCTGCTCCAATTCCTCTTGAAGCTCCGGTGACGATTGCTACTTTGTTTTGAAGGGGCAAATTGGTTTCTGTCATGTTCACAAGTTCGTAATATACACTAAAAGGAGTATTTGCTCAAGTATTTATATGGATGTCATTCCAAGTTGGCTTTGTCATCATAAATTTCAAGTTACTAATCAATTCCTTACTTGCATAAGTTTTTTCCTTTTTTTTCTTTGGTTGAAAGTAACAAGGTAACGAATGACT